TATGACCGCATGAATAATGATGCGTCTATTAAAAATGGAACCTAGCCTTATAGGTTTATTGTCCGCACTCTCCCATTCAGGCATCTGAAAAAGTAGGCTCTTGCTACAATAAATTTGTCAGCTTTTCAGGAGCCACAGGCCTTGGTCTCGTTTGTATTAAAAACATTGTAAAATATACTGCTGCAGACAAGTACCATCTCTTGATTCAGTACTCATTTTCACCCCTTTTTTTAAAATGCTGAAGCCACAGAACCTGTTCTGGCCTTCACCAAAGTTTATAATAATAAGCAGTCTTTTTAATAAATGTGTTCTACAGCTTGCAAATCAAGCACAAAATGGTTGTCTTCCCCCCCCCCCCGCATTGTGATTCAGGGTTGTTACTGTTTTAACTCACTACCTAAACTTATAAATCCACGCCTGTATTTTCTGAACACACATGCATGCTTCCATATCTAAGTCTTAACAAACGGGCAATAAATTCCTGTGGCAAAATTATCAAATGATCTCTCCATAAAATAAAATAAAAAAATAGAAAAGCCAACACAACTTTGACCCGCATGGCAAAAGCATGCCCAAACATTTTTTCCCAATTCACCCAATATATAATGCACTTTTAAATAGATCACTATTACGCATTCTCATGACAATGATGTACCTTATATCAAGCACTGCATATTATCTTACCTTCCCGCATAATTACTGCATATTAACTCCTCCAAATATAAGCATTTGTATTATTATTATTTTTTAAAAGAGCAACCAACAACATGCTCATCTCTTCGTTTTTGAAGAAATAATTATACTGAAAATGTAAGCTGCTATGAGACAGACTTTGAAAGGGAAGTGAGATTGTCAAGTGAATGGTAAAAAAATGAAACCAATGGCAGGTACTTTGGTAAGGCATATGCTACAGCAAAGGCCCCAAAAAACTGGCGAAGGTTGATATTCACATGTGTCTGCTGGCATTTCCAGAAGAATTTTGGGAACATCTGAAAACTAAAAATATATTTTGCTCACTTTTCAGATAAACATTAAAATCGGTGAACTTTTAGGGGATAAACAAGACCCACCATTTCTACGTTTTTGGACACTCCCAACATTTGCTTGGGACTGGCAATATTCACATATGAATGTTGACATTCGCTAGAGTTTGAACTCACATGGTAACAATTAACTATATCAGCCATGGTAAAAAACAAACAAACTCACAAACAATAGAGGTCAACCAACTTTGCCATAGCTTTATAGTTGTCCAAAAACAATGCATGAACAAAGAGACAGATCTTTGTTTGCCTAGAGCAGACTGTCATTGCCTGAAACAAAAGCATAGCCACCTTGTGGTTTTGCAGGCCTTGGTGTTTACAGAGAAGGAAGTTCTTACTGCTCACAGAGCTCTGTGTCTGCAGCTGTAGTAAACTGCTGTATGCCTGCAACAGCAACTGAAATAGATATCAGGGTAATGCAATGGTCTCACAGTAGTGCAACCTGAAGCATACAGTATATAATACCTTGAAGACAGCTTTAAAATTCCACCCGCATTGCATATGTGCTATAAAGCAATCCCCTTTCTTCTCATTTTGTCATCCATCCATACATCTGTTTATGTTCAAAGAAACAAAATTTCAGTGCTGTATAGCATGCCTCATCTGATTATAAAACAAACCCTCAGTTTTAAACTAAACAAAACCCCAAATGATGTTTAATTGAATAAAAAGGCATACTAATCTTCATGCTATGCTCAATATAAATATAAATTCAAGGCAGTTGAGCTATTCATTACCAAAAAATAATACATATATATACTTACACTCTCTAAAAAATGATTCAGTAATGTGGATTAGGAAATCAGTAAGAAACTGTCTGAGTCTAGTATATAAAAAAACCTTTTATGTAAAAGGTAAAAACCTTTTATGTAAAAGCCAATTATGGCTTTTTTCAAGTATTTTATTTTTTGTTTGCTTCAGAATGTTTATTATGAGTTATTTGTGGGAAGGACTGATTTTGTGCAGAAAATTGCACTGAAAAGAAATTAATTTCCACTGCAGTTCATTTTTAGAGTGTGCATGTATACATAGCAACTGTTTCATCTAGCTATCCCCTGTAAATACCGGGCATATTTAATGGAAAGTCCTTCTATGTTTCCCAATGGAATAAACGGCCACTGGCCGAGAACGTTGATGCCTCTTCATTTCCTTGGTGCTTCCCAGAATATTGTACCCACCATCCTCCCATAACAAAACAGGTGAATGTTTGGACGATATACAACAGGCCTCTCTTTTTTATTATTATCATTATTATTTTTGAAAGAAGCCCAGTCCCAATCCAAATGGATCAGCAACACCAGATTTCCCTTTGAGCTTGTGCCAGTTTGCAAGTTAAAGGTCAAAGAGCAAAGACATCAAATAATACATGGTAAGGAGATTCAGACAGCAAAGGTTTTTCTTTTCCACAGAAGACAATGTTTAACTTGGTAATGACAGTCAACAGATCAATAAAGTTCAAGGCAAGCTGTTCATTGTTTCAAAAGCTAACCCACCAGGAATCCTAGCTTTCATAAGAAGCCAGGGATCTGACTTGTGGGGTTCATTCTTTCAGAACACCTTTAATAAGTTCACAGCTCAGTGACTGTAAAAAGCCTGTGACTGCAAGATGCAGCTCCTAAAATCAATAAAAGAGGTCTGTCAGTTGCTGACTTTTCTCTAGGAAAAAAACATTGATACACAACCTGCTCTGCAGGTCACATGAAAATGACAATACTGCTGTTAGCACAAAATTACACAGGATGACATAATGCTTTGGTGGTCCCTTGGTTCTGTCAGCAATTTAATGCACAGTTAAATGCCACATATCTTGTTGACCCTTTGAGAACTAAGGCAAGCACCCAATTGGCATCACATTACAAAAAAACCACAACCATGTAACAAGGCTGTTGCTTTCCAGACTGTTCACCTGCATAAACCCATGTTTCAGGATCATGCAGAGTGGGTGGGGGGACTGTAATAAAATGTAAGGTAAACAGGCCTAAATTTAAGTAGTTAGTCCAGTTGGTGGGCAGGAAAATGCTACCCCTTGATGGGCTTTCCCGGTCACATCAAAAATCTCATGTCCTTGTTGCTTTTGGTCTAAAGATGAAGAACAATTTTTAAATGAGAGTTGAAAGTGTATAGAAGGAGCATTGCTTCTTATGGTGTACACATTTTCCCCCTGTTGTTGTTTTATCCTTGTTTCTGGTCAAGCAGGTTTCACTAAAAAACATGTGCAGTCCATTTGTTCCTTATGGGGAACATGGAATGTAAATATCACATGGGGGATACTGGTTCATTAGAGTTACCCCTACAGGATGATGAGAGGTGGGGCAGGACAGCTGGAAATGCTTGCATCATCTAGTATCCCAGATGGTACAATATCCTGAGCTGAGTGGTCAAAACTGTAGTCAGGTGAATTTTGAGTTCTACAAATCTCCATATTATTAATTAAAATAACACCAATTAACAAACAAGTACATGGTTTGTTTCTGTTATATTATCATCAATAGTGCAAGCAATTAAAATTGCACTTTATTTTAGTGTTATTGTAATTGTGTGGTGGAACAATCCACTTTCTAACATCTGAACTTGGGCTATTATCTGTCCTGTAAACCTGCTTATCTTGCTGACTGCCAACACGTTTCATGATGATACTGTGCAATTTTATACTGAAATGTGGCAGCCCACATTAGACTATAGGCAGCCATTGGAAGCAGTAGAGAGAAGGGTAATAGTGAAGCTGAGAAGGAGGGAGAGTAGTATCTGTGGGTCTCTTATGGTTTGGAGAACAGGGTCTTACCTGTAATAACAGGAGATTAGCATTAGAAACCAGGATCAGTTTAAGTTGAGGTGTTCTGCACTATTGCTGTGTGGATCTATAAATTCAGTCAGTCAGTGATAGCAGACTTTGAAAACTGATCCTATAGTTCTCAAAGGGTCACCTGTTACATAAACCCAACATTAGCATTATGCTTCTCTGTAACATTAAGTGTCACTTTAGTTCACTGCAATCTACTTCAAACTCTTGGTACTTTCTGCTCTGGTTTTAAAATAAATGTTCCTGACAGACCTATGGAAGGCCTGGGGCTGTTGGCCTGGTACAGCTCAGGAGGAAAAAAAAGACTAGAAAGGATGAAACAGGAAACGAGCAAAAAAAGATAAACCAATCAATAAAAAGATACTATCTGAATATAGTATAATTAATATAAATGTGTTAAAACATTGAGAACGTAGCTCAGAACAACTGTATAAAACACAAAATGAATGTATCATTAAGGCTGTTACTATATTGCAGATATTTTGGCCCCTTGTTTGTTGGAAAATGGCTGTCCAGACAGTCTGAAATCCTGTGTGTCACCCTTGTCTCCCACTTGACAAAAAGAAAAAGGAAAAAAATTATCTGTAGGAGTATAGGATTATATCCACAGCTGACAGAAAGTAATCCTCTTTGGAGACAAAGCTGTTTTGGGTCTTCACACTTCCTGAAAAGTTCCATTGTGATTGTTGTGTTATAGTTGCTGTGTTGTTGTTGTTTTTAAAAAAACTGATTACATTTTTTTCTTTTTTTAAAACCTCACACAAAACTCGTTTCAAAGGGGAGCAGGCTTTAAAGCAGACACCCCCCTCCCCAAGAGACACCGGAGGTTCCTCTTTTCGTGTTGTCATATTTCCTCTTCTTTAGTGAAAATCCTGATAGTTTGCATTGGGTATCGAGCGTGCAGAGGAAAGGCTAGAACCGAATGACAAAGAAAGACAAAGGACTGGAGGAACGGCAGATACTGTGTATGATGGAAGCTTCCCACTGGAGTGAACTCTCACTCATGTGCAGGGCAGGCAGCCCCCCCGGGTTTTAAAGATCAGCCCTGGTCGAGGCGGACAGATGCCTGCTCCTAGCTAGGAAACCACATAACAGCTCTTGTGTTGAATCTCAAGTTACCACAAACTCCTGGGAGAGAGAAAAAAAATACCCCTACATCACACCCATTCTTGCATAGAGCGTTTGCAGTACAGTATGTGGCGGGGTGTTCCTTTCCTCTTGAATTGGAACACAGTGTAAACCAAGACAAGGAGGCACAAGGCCAGAATGCAAGGAATGACAATGGCTATGGCTTTCACAGTGCTGGCTGTGTTGTCCAGTTTGATGACAATGTCTACGTCATCTTGAGGGCTGTGTCGGTCTTTGTCCCGGTCTGCTGGTCCATCACAACCCATAAAGTCCTTGAGGATGGATCTGGGATAGCCAGATTCTACTCTGAGCACTTGGTTATTGAATTTCCAGTATTCCTTGCCTTTGTAGAAATATGTGAAGCCTGAGGGGAGAAAAAACATAATGATGTTAACACTGTGATTTCTAGTAGCCACAAGTGTTGGCCAAAAAATAATAATACTGACATTTAAAGTGAATAGTGACCATCAAAATGGAGTTAAATCATTACTAGATGTCATTTCTTCTAAATCTTATTGATAAGAAACTAACAAAATTTATCCTAGTCTTGCCGAAGATTCCTTAGGTAAGGTCTCCTGTTTTTAAACCTTATTGATATCTATCATTACTAATCTCCCACATAAAATTAACCAATTTTGCACAGAAGCTCACCCAAGCTTTTCAGTCTAGAAAAAAGATGGCAAAGAGGAGATATGAGTGGTGGAGCATGAGTAGAGGGAGTTTTTTCTCCTTCTGTCATAATACTAGAGCTCAGGGACAGTAATTAAATTGTTGGAAAATAGGTTCAGAACAGACAAAAGGAAATATTTCTTTATTCCGTGGGTATTTAAACTGTGGAATTCACTGTCAGGGGAGGTACTGATGGCCACAAGCATAGATTTGCTTTAAAAAGGGAGTAAGCAGATTCATGGAGGAGAGACCCATCAATGGCTACTACCCATGGTGACTGAGGGGAACCTCCATCTACAGAGGCAGAAAATCTCTGAATACCAGTTCTGGAAGCAGCATCAGGAAAGGGCCTTGGCCTCTGTGCCTTATTTGGCTGTCCAGGATAACTGGCTGGCTGCTGCATGAAGCAGCAGAATACTGGACTAGACAGACCAGTGGGATCTATTTATTTGTGTTCATATGGGTGTCTTTATGTTTACTCCCATTGGAAGCGGCAGGATCTGCACTGCAAAAATAGCACATGAAAAAGAGTTAAAACAGCCCTTCTCCAGTGTCACTGCTCAGATCAAACTACCATTTTTAGAAGTTTTTATACACACATACACAGCATGGACGGCTTCAAAAGGGAATTAGATAAGCATATGGAGCAGAGGTCCAAATGGCTATTAGCCACAAGGTATAGATAGGGACTCTGGGGCAAGTGATGCTCTGTCATCTTGGTGCTTGGGGGGGTCAACAGTGGGAGGGCTTCTAATGTCCTGGCCCCACTGGTGGACCTCCTGATGGCACCTGGTATTTCTGGCCACTGTGTGATACAGAGTGTTGGACTGGATGGGCCTTTGGCCTGATCCAACATTGGCATCTCTTATGTTCTTATGTTCTTAAAGTAAGAGAAGATCTTAATCATGCATTTTCTTGATCATACCCAGTGGAAATACACTTCACTATACTTTCTTAGTGGGAGATACTGTTGTGAAAATTATACAATGGTTGTAATTTTGAGATCATCCTCGTTACTTTCCACAACTATATCTAATATACAAGAATTAAGATCATTTCTCGACATAACTGATTTGCAACCAAATCCTATTTTCCCATTAATAACTGTTGCAATTTCAAAACCAATCCATTTTCTGTTTCTTTGTGATAATCTTTCAATTTCACTGGTGACCTTAAAAATAATTAATATTTTGTATTAAATATTATATTTGGTTTGTTTCTTCATATTTTAAACCCTATTAAATTCCTGCCAATGAATTTCTAAACGTAGCGCTTGAGTGTGGATTAAAAAATCCTCTTAGTTAGGGCTGTGTACAAACCTGGGAGAATTGCAGAAAAATCTCAGAATCTTTTTTAAAATAAGGGAAACTGGAGGCAATGGGCAAGCAAGGGGGGGGGAGAGATGCCACTGAAGGAAGGAAGAAAGAGGGTGCGTGCAAGTGAGCAAGCAAGTGAGAGGGGGAGATGTGGTGGCATACATGGCAGGCAAGCAAGGGGAGAGAGAGGCAAGAGAGAGAGAGAGGCAAGGGGAAGGAGGACGCAGAGGGTGGACAAGCAAGCAAGGATGGTAGCAATGGAAGGGGCCCTGGAAACCCTTGTCTACTCACTAAATTCCTGTCCAGAGTAGCATCCAGGAAACCTATTTATACTTCACCATAGATTATGGTCACCATAGAGTATTTAGCCAAATGCTAGAGCATACCCTGTGTGATGACAATCTCCAGGTGATGTCATCGTGCAGAGCACATCAGGCACAATGGGGCTCTTCAGGGGTGGGCCTCCTCTGTCAGCCAGCTGGCTGGCAGTGGATTAGGGCCTCTGAGAATAGGGGAACCCCTGCCGCACTGGGGGGATGGCAACCCTACTTTGAATCGTCTTGAGTTCAAGCATCAGAACACTGCTATGTGCACTGGTTTCTGAAAGTATATATCAAACTAAATTAATGAAAAAACTCCATTTACACAGTCCTTCCCACATTACAGGGCATGGACATTTTTTTGCATGATGAGAAAAATACATATAAAGACAACTGTATGCTGTTTGATGGGTCTTTGACTGTAATAAACTGATTGATTGATTGATCATATAAAGACAATTATTTGATGATAGCATCCCTTTCTTAAGTAAAGGGAGTCGTCTGGACACAGTGCAGCCAAAGTGATACACTTTAAAAATACTATTGAAATGACTGGAAGGGCTTGGAGCATGGCTTTGGCTGGGTTGAGCCCCGTTCATCTAACCTTCCTATTTGTGTGAAGCAGTATCTCCTCTTACTTTATGAAAGAGCCACGGCAACTACATTTAGAACATTGGAGAGAATCAACACTTTGGTTTAACCCCCCCCCCCAAAAAAAAACACCCCTGACACTTTCACAAACTATGCTTGCCCTGAAACCTCTTTGCTCCAAGAGCCCCTGCCGAGCTCTAGGCCATGGATCAATTAAAGCAAACTACCACAGCATGTTACACCTTCCGAATTGCCCTTCTGTCTTGAGCTCTCTGTACCAATTTTGTTCCCCAGTACTGTACATCTTGGAGAAGAAATGCTGCATGAACTGTGCCAACCAAAAACAGGTGCACACAGCTTCCTATTTTCTGTGGGGAGCTGGAGTTTGATCATTCAGAATTCCAGGGTAATTACAAATGGTGCCTAATTGCAGAAGTTCTGCGTCTCTGCCAAAAAATTCTAAAGCGTTTCACTGTCCCAGCGGAACAGTGGCATCAATCCAGCATGAAACAAACTTTCCTGATGGGCAAACTTCCTCCCACTGTTTATGAACTATATTCAAGCAGCTGGAGCCTGCTTCATCTCATGCTATACCTCTTGCAATCTTATAGGCAGTTAGGAAAAAGAATGGGCTTCACTTGCCATGTGGAAAGTACAGGTTGCAGTAGGCAGCAAATTACATATTTGTTTCACCATTTGACACGGAAATTAGGCTTCTGTGGTTTTGCTATCTCCTTGACCAAATTTTAGGTTGGAGTAACTTTTCTGAAAAATCTTGCATTATAGATGTTACATTAAAAACCTTGCAGAAAGTTTATGCATATAACATTAAACAGTGTTGCACTTACCTGTAACTGTTGTTCATCTAGTTGTCTCTGTGCAGGCGCACATGGGTACTGCGTACGTGCACAGGACAACCACTGGAAGATTTCTAGTTAGCTTAGTAATAGAGCAGGAGGGGCCCTTCCCAATCGAAGCCATTGAGACCATTTTCCTGCCTAAGAGTCACATACTCCGTGGACGGCCCCCTCCCTCCCTCAGTTCTCTTAGCCAATGCTGTGAGCCAACAAAATTAGAGGTAAGGAGCTCACAGTGGGGAAGGAAGGAGGGATGTGTGCCTGCACAGAGACAACAAGATGAACAACCGTTACAGGTTGCAACACTGTTTTCATCATCATTGTTCTGTGCAGCCCCACATGGGAGACTAGCAAGCTCTCTTACCAGGTAGTGGGGTGAGTGATTTACTGGAATACCGAACGCAGAACTGCTTTCCCCACTGATGTCTTCCTTCTTGTATTAGTGCCCACAGAGTAGTGTCTGACAAAGGTGTCTGCAGATGACCAGGTTGCTGCCTTACAGATGTTCACCATCGGGATGTCTCATCTAAATACAGCGGATGTTGCCTGAGCTCAAGTGGAGTGCACTCGTACATTCAAAGGGCACTGCACTGAAGCCGATTCGTAGGTTCTCTTGATAGCAGAAACTATCCACCTAGAGACCGTCTGTGCTGAAGCAGCTTTCCCCTTAGAGGGGCCAGCAAAACAGAGAAATTATTGTGGACTCCTAAACTCACTAGCTCTCTTTAAATAAAACAGTAGAGCATGTTTTACATCTAAAGTGTGTAGTCGTCTTCCAGCTGCAGACGATGGGAGTGGGGAAAAGGTGGGAAGTGAAATATCCTGGCTCAAGTGGAACTTAGAAACCACTTTCAGTAAAAACAAAATGGACACTAGGTCTTAACACAATTTTATGATCATGTAGCTTTATGAAAGGGTAGTCGGCTCTAAGAGCTGTAATTTCTCCCACTCTCCTGGCGAATGTAATAGTAACTAAGAAGGACACTGTAAAGGAAAGGTTGTCCAGGGAACAGGTAGCCAAAGGCTCAAAGTGGGGTTGTATTAAATGAGTCAGCACCAGTGTGCCCTCTAAGCTGAGTTAGTGTGAGCCAGCTCGGTTTTTGAGCCTCCAGCTCACACATTTTTGTCTTCACTCAGGAAGGATGGCTCCAGAGCAAACTAATTTATGCAGTAGCCAAATTGCTTGCTCACAGCTTAAATGTCAGTAGCTCACAGAGTAGAATTTTTGCTCACAAGACTCCACAGCTTAGAGGGAACATTGGTCAGCACTATAGTGACAGAGACCATTGAGCTACAATGGGCAACCTAGGAGGGTGCCCTTGAGGCCCTTGAGAAATCTCTTTGAAGCTTCCTGTGAAAATATTGATTTCCCCTCTATTGTAACGTGGAAGGCAGAGATTGCTGCTAAATGAACTTTAATAGAGATACTGACAAGCCTGTTTCTTTTAAGGACAGTAAGTACTCCAAAATTAGTTAGTAGGGGAGAAACCTTTGCTTTCCAGACAGCAGGTGAAATGTCTCCACTTGTAAGAGTTGGAGAGCCTAACTGAAGGTCTTTGGGAACTGGCAAGATGCCACTGGTTCAGAGAAGGAGTGTTCTCTGGGATTAGC